TAAAAGTGTGTTCACGCAAAAAGTATCGTGAAAACCGACGCTGATTGTTTGGAGATAAATTTCTCTTTAAAAAGGATTCGCACATTTTCACAGATATTTATTTGTCAATTTATGTAATTCGCCAAAATCAACATTCGGTAAAGACAAGAAGTTAGAAAAGGAATCTCAAAAGTCTCCCGTATTTTAAGCGGCTCTTTTACATGATGTCGTTAAGACGATCTTCAGCATCACTGAGAAAAGGATACAGATATAACTCGAGCGACCATGAATTATACACGGCATGGGAAAACCTTTCTCTCATTTTCTTCGTCCCTTGAGACAGATATATTAAATATTAATGAGGAAAGTGATAACGAAGCTAAAATATCAACGCGACCAAACATGATATGCATGCTCTGATATGATTTTCTTTCCTACGATGTAACGTATACACTATTGTAAATCAAATTAAAATTTTTATTAAATAAAATAATTTGTATGCAAAAGAATACTCTATTTGTATTTGCAAAAGAATACTCTTTTTTTTCATAAATAGCAATACAGTGTGAAACATATCCGTTAATAAATGTCGCTTCAAATACAAACGCGTACCGATACAAAATATTCGATGTCACGATGTTATCTTCTGCCGAATAATTTGAATCCCGAGGGTAACCGAGTAAATCCGACAATGGAACGCGAAGAAATTCGATTCTTGTGAAGATTCCCTGTGTGCTGCGGATAACAGCAGCAATTTCACGTTTCTGACGAGGCGCGAACTGATTCCCGGCGCGTGCAAATCGCATGTTGAAACCGGAAACGGGTACCGGCTATCGATTCCAAATTCACCCGTGCGAACCATTCGCATTCCAACGCGAGAAACATAAAAATCGTTCGTCATTCGGTTCTCCGATATAACGAGTTGTCGAAGTACGAGATCGTCGGAGATGACAGCGACGTATATTGATGAATTGTCCCGCGACAAGACCTTCCCGATTGTATTCCGCTGTAACTCCATTGCCTACGCTTGAAACACAAGTGTAACAACAAAAATGCATCCCCGCAACAATAAAATGTTCAATTAAATTTATCGTTTCGTCCTCCATTTCCCGGTCTTTCCCGGTTTCCCCGATTTACCTTTCATCCTATATATCCGATCCGGGAGACACGTCGAGTAGAGATCAGAATGTTATATCGAAGTAGAAAGAGTGAGTTCAAAGGTGAATTTCCATTTCAGTTGCAGAACAAAGGAGAATGTCGGTCGAAGTGAGAGCTGGTCGACCTACCATGCCAACAATTCCGCACTCCAAGAGGCCTACGATCTTGGTGTATCCAACGGGTAAGGACGCAAACGCTAGACGTTTCCTAAATACTAAATCTCAGCTGAATTACGTTGAAAAGCCAAGTTCTATTTTGCCGCGAGAGATACACAAGGGTTTACATCACGTCGGCATTATCTTGAACCGCGCCAGTTTCGTTTTTTGAAGGCGCGGAATATTAACTGCGTGAAGGGATGATGTTTAATTAGACGCTTGTATGAAGTATTAGATCACGCCCGCGGCGATGTTAAATTGCGAACGAGTAGCTTGGGGGCAGACGGCGAGAGACAGCGGATTGATAATGTAATTAGTGTCAATTCGCCCGTTACGGCGTGCTATATGGCGAATTACGAGAAACACGAATCCGCTAATAAGTTAGTAGTGTGTTAATGCAATAACACAGTGCTATTATCCAATCGTTCGCCGATCAAAGGCTTCGCCTGATCGCTATTAATTACTCTGATGTTTGCCTCCATCGTGCGATGACAATTATCTGCTATCTGAGGTGGAGAGAGAGAGCCCGCTTTCAAAGTAGTCTGATACTAATTTCTCTTTTTTTTTTTTGTCAAATGCATAATTTAAGAGACAGAGTAATTAATAGACCATTGATATTTAATGAACCTAGAGAGATTCTTTTCGGAGAAGTAAAGTACTGGTAAAGTATTCGTCGAGGCGACAGAATCGTTGCATCACGATTTTCCGTTGGATTAATTAGTTGACGTTAAAACTTTAGAAATTTGGCGCACTCTGCAATCGATGCTTCATTCAAATTCCCACAATAGCTCTAATTTAGCTACGGGACAACTGCTTCGCAAAATAGCGCGCGCACGTCAATTTAAAAACAAATCCTTATTTTCCAGAAATGGAACGAGCGACAATACACGACAGGTACAATAGAGAACATGTATTTTATTTTTCATAGAATATTTTATACGATTTTTTCGAAAAAATTACATATTGATAGTATAATACCTTCTCCGAGTCTTTTACAATTAAATTCAAGCGTACATGCAATAAATAAATTAAGATCTTTTGAATATTTATAGTAAAAATAACATAATGAAGTCGAAAGTAAAGTTATATCCAGTCAAAAGTTGTATCTTGTTCCAGAAATTGCATGCTATTTTGATCAAAAGTTTTCAAAAGGAACTAGCTTTTCTTTTGCATTGTGAAAGAAGAATAGCACACTGTGAAAACTAAATCAAAGCTCTATGTATTACATACCAAAGAAAGTAGCATTTAATTCAAGAAAGAACTGGGACGCTTTTATTGAGAATTGTCTACATTACTGCATTATACCTCGTGCAAAAAGTTTTAATCGAACAGTTCGGTCGTAGTTGAAAGAAAGTCAAGATTTAAGTTCTTTTAAATACGGACTGAAAGTCCGTCTAATCTGTACCATCTTAAGCTCCATCTTATAATACCTACTAATTCGATCCAAGTAACTAACTTCTCTCTTATTACATATTGAAAATTTCATGAACTGCCAAACTTTCGAGAAGCGTATGCCCTTTTCGCCTAGTGATATGGAATCCGCTTTGAAGCTCGGAATACATAAACTTTTTTATTCAAGTGAAATACGCGCTTTGTTAAAGCGCTCGTATTGTTACAAATAATAAAAGTAAAATAAAACTGCACAGTTTTTTATGTATATATAAAATAATATTCATATTTAGTAAACCTAACAACTATTGACCGAAAGATAACAATTATTGACTGAAAGAGTTAATAAAACTGACATAACAGCGATTGTTTGATTGAATGAATCCGATAAATTTGATACGGGTTCGCGTGAATGATCTTGACGTCATTATCAAAAATAATTCTACAAAAATGAGATAGCCAGCAAAATATATCGCACCGTTGGTGTTTTTAATCTGAATAATCAATAATCACGGTCCATTAAAAAACTTTGTTAAAAGTTCGAATTAAATCACAAAAGTGCTAAACATTTTAGGCTTGTCACGAGAAAATTATATGCGCGTGTAACAGATAATAAAGCAATATTAATTATTAATTTGCAAAGTTCTAACAACGTAATCAATTTGCATCTTTCAGTAACGCCGGAGAGCATAATCATACCTATCGTGTCGTGCATTTTGGGATTCCCGTTGCTGGCATTAATGGTAATTTGCTGCCTACGGAGGAGAGCGAAACTCGCTAGGGAACGAGCTCGACGAAGAAACTGTGATTTGGATCATGGCGCATTGAGCCTCGTCCGTTTCAGCCCGGTTCATCGTTTAGGTGAGCACCCACCGAGTTTAAAAGTGAAACTAGGACATGCGCGCACGCGGAACAGATATTCGCTGTGTGAATAGAAACACTGAATAGAAACCAAATCGCCCGTGCAAAATTAAATATGTGACGCTAACCGGCCGTGCAAATATCCTATCCGGGGAAATTATTAGACATATAACAAATTTCTCGCCATTTGCAAAACTTTTTTTAATTAATTTCATAAATACTATGCCTAATACATTTCAATGTATTGTAATTAAATTCAGATATAATATACATGTGTATATAATATATATTATAGAGCATTGTCTTTATAAAATAAACTATAACTTTTCCATGTATAATATAATATGTTTATAACAATATGATTTATTCGAAGGCGTAAATTTCGATCATATTTGTAGAGGAAACACGCACGGGAAATAAAATGTAACAGTTTGTTTCAATTTTTTTCGTTTCAATAACGGTTACATCATTTTCTTTCTTTCTCTTTCTCTCTATACATTTTTTTCCTCGATTTTTTTCCTTGATTTTCTCTAATTGACTGAGTACACGCATACATGTATAATACGCAGATATTCCCTCGCGAGGGCATGTAAATGCACTCGCATAAAGGGATAATGTAACGATCGTACGCGACCATTGGAATAAACATAAAGAGGGCGGAAGAGGCTCTATAAAGCAGATTGAATTCTAGCCTGAATATATTTGAATTCTATGTTCATGCATTGACGATGGATATTTTCAGCTTAAAATTATGGATGAACATTTGTATAATCGTTCGTTTATATTCGATGGCAAATACTCGGAAAATTCGCGATTAAATAATACGCGCTTTTATTCCTTGTTTCACCGGTTCCCTTTCCCCCCCCCTTTTTTTTTTTAGAAATAAAAATAATCCGGACATTGCAGATCGGATTCTATCTCAAAGAGAAACACGTGAAAAGTATATGAAGTATTATTTTTAGATTTAAATCAAGCGTATCGGATTATCGATATCGAAGTGCTTCGCACGTGAAACGATCCTTAAAGTCGCAAAGGTTGTGAAAACTACTGTGCTAGATGAATTTTTTACGACGAATGAAAATAAAATTTTTATTCGAGGAACCACGGTATACGATAACCCAATGAAATAGACCTTTCGCGTCGACAGAGTATCAAAAATTGGACCTTACATCGCTCATTGATAATCCATTTCCGCGGAGTGCAATGCGGTGCAGTAAAATATGGCGCTCCGGAGCGCCATTTCTCTCGTAACCATGCCGTGCGACATCTTATCCGGACGCGATTTTGTATGTGCATATACATTTCCGTAGTCGGAAGTAAGCGCCGAGGATGACCGCGGTGTTATCTCATCACTCCCATCTAAAATTCGTTTTACATCGAAAAGTTTTTGTTATCCAGCATCCGGCACTTTTTACTACGAGAGCACCGCAATAAATATATGGCAATAAACGTCGTTTTCACATAAAAGCATTTGCATCGCTAATATACTCTAACATCATCCATTTACATATTGTTTGTGGAAGTATCGGTAAACAATCGTAGCGTAGCTCGGCTAGCTAATTTATTCGTTTATTATCATAACTCTAAATCGCCTGGATAGAAGCTGTGATACGTAAAATTAATATCACATAAATTGTCATAAATTGTTGAATATAATTCGGGACTGTAATAGATATGTTTATTGATATGAAAGGCTTGGTGGAGAAAGATATTAAATTTTTCTCACTCATGTGTATGTTAATTAATAGAAATTGACAATATGTTCAGCAACATAATTAATAAAATTAGCTGAGCATTGGTAACATATTTTACAAATAAAATATCATTAAATATCATTAAAATTTGTAATTAAATTTAACAAACAAATTTACAACAAATAATATAATCCAGAAAAATTTATATAATATATATTCATTCATAAAGAGATGTAAAACTTCAATTTTTTACGCTTTTTCGTGCAGATTAGTTCTTTCGCTCATCTCGTAAATCCCCTTAACGAAACATAATTGTCAAATGTTAATAATAATAATAATACTAAATGTTTATATAGTATTTATGTCCCTTTCCTAAATTAAAATTTCATAATTAACATTTTAATTATAGATTTATCAATTTTTAATTCTTAATTTATAATATTTTTTTTACTTATCCAAATTTTTTAATATCCCTACCTATCCTCATCAAACTTTTTAATTCATAAATTACAATATTATACATATTTATAATTATAAATTATTTATTCAAATTTTTATTACTCTATTTAACGTATCCATTTCAGGGCATTCGAATCTGTGAAGACATATCCAACTACAATATTTTTTTAATATATAAAAATAATCTAATGTAAATTTCACAAATTCGTTACCTCAATAAGAAAAAAATTCACTCACCGACCCGATGCGCAACAGCGGAGTAAATCTGCCACGTAGCTACGATGATTCTGTAACACACAAATAAAACATTTAAATTATAGCAGCGCTCCAAATAATAAATATTTTAAAAAGTAATTTTTACGTATATCGAGTTTATATTTTTATTTTTCAATTATATATTTATTAAAGTAATTATATAATTTCCAAAAAAGATCTTTATACAAATAAAAAATGTAAAATTTGAAATTAATTTTCTTTTCAGATATAATTATATATTTATAAATTTCAAATTATCAAAATTTAGCGATCCAAATAAATGAGAACACAAATCATTTTATGTTGACAAAAAATATATACTTACCGCAAGGTTGCTCCGCCGGTGCCCGATGTCTCTCCCAAGCCTCCTCCTCCTCTCAGGATGTTAGTCAGGATGTCGTCTCCTCGCAGCACAGGACACTCGCGAAGAACGCTCGCGAATTATTATAATCGCGCGCGGACTAACTTTCAATAAAAGTCTTTCGCGCGATATTTGACGGCACTCCGCGTATTTTTACCTGCCCGTGAAAATCAAGTTCTGTCTCGCAGGACGAAGAAAAGTCTCTTAGTCCGATTACTTGTACGGCACTCCCGAAGAAAACGCACGGCGCGACGAACTGTCTGCAGTCCATTTATTCGATTAAATCGGCGGCGGAGACATTATTAATAACAGTAATATTACCTGTTAATGTTATTAATAACGGTGCAACGGGTACTAGTTGGCTTCTTCGTCTTTGGGATATAAAACCCCTCGGAATACTAAGCCCCTCTGCCACGTCAAGGCCGTACCCATCAGAGGGGAGTTATTATTTACAAGAAGTTATGAAAAGAAATTAAGTCGCGAGAAATATTATATCTCAGCAAACGCGAGGTTACATGTAATATAAATGTTAGATGTAATTTCCCACTCAACAATGTGTAACTGTTATATAACACACACGTTAAATAACAGTTACATTGTTACGTGGGAAATTACAACCAACATTTATATTACACATTTGTTGGATATATAATAACTTTATTAGAATCGTTGTCGTTTCGAGACGCTTACGAATTGTTAATCAGGTCAATTGACAAGCGTTATATAAGATTATTTCGTAAGATACAACGTTTAGCATTAAAGAAATGCGAAGGAATGCGGAGCGACGCGTACCACGACCCGTCCGTACGAATGCCGGTGAATGAATGGTAACACGTGACTCGTAAACACGACGCGCTACTCGCCGTATATACACAATGAAGCTCGCTAGGCATGTAAACATTTCTCAAGGCTACGCTACCAACGATCTAACTACGATGAAATATTCAATAAATAATATACATATGTATCTAACTTACACGAAACACTACGCATCTTTTAGTAACTGACATTAAAAAAATTAAAAAAATATATGTATGTATACATATTTTTTTAGAGAATTACCCTTTCGATCCGTTTATAAATCATTGATCACGCGGGTTAATAAGTATTATTATATATATTATATTATTAATAAGTATATATTTATTATACTATTTACTTTATATTATTAATAATATTAATATTATCTAACGTTATATAATATTAATGTTATTAATAACGGTGCAATGAATATTGTTGGCTTCTTCGGGTCTTTCGGGTATTGAATCCCTCGAAATACTCAGCCCTTCCGCCATCATCAAGGCCATATCCTTTAAAAGAGTTATATTTATAAAAAGTCATAAAAAATCGAAGGAATAAGATGCGCGATATATGTATGTATGTATGTATTTTATTAAAAAGATTATTGAAAAGATATTAAAAAGATTATTGAAAAGATATTAAAAAGATTATTTCGACACGTTTACGAATCGTTAAGAAGCATTCATTATTATATTCATATGATATAACAACATCATATGTATCATATGTATATCATATGTATATGTAATAATGTAAATATTTTACATAAAAATATATAATGTTAATTAATAAATGACGCGCGCAAAGCGCGCGCTTTGCAATATTCTAATTTTTATAATTTTTATTATAAATTGATAAATTTATTTTTATCACTAATTTAATATATCTATATTCAAAATTTCTTAATGAACGTTTAAAGCCAGACATAATAATAATAATATATTTCTATTATTATTAAAATCGAATGTTTTGTATGATGTATATCAAAAAGTTAAAATGATAATACACAAAATTCGTAATTCTCCCCATCTCCATACATATCTCACATACATATGATTCTCAATATACATGATTTAAAATACATACGATTTAAAATGCAACTTCTATGTATGTATCGCTCAACATAAAACGGACAAGAATTTAGAAGCCGACACATTGCACTTGAACACAAAAAGATTTATTGGATTTCTTCACATACTACTAAGTATTTTCCTGACAGCTGACAAAAAAAGTTTTTTATGTCCTCGTATGGATGACCTACTTTCTAAGGCACTGTCCACTGCGACAACTACAAGCTCTCAATTTACGACAATCCAATCAATAGTAGACAGTAGACAATTTGGATCACTATTTAGTGCGCACAGTAGTCAAGGCATAAATTTACCGTCCGCAATATTCGCCTTCTAACAAAAGAGATTGTCCGCCAAAAAAAAAGAAAAAAAACAGAAAATAAACAGCTCATGAATATTACATGAGTAGATCGTATAAATTTAACTCTATCAAATCTTTTTAAGTTTTCAGAAATATTGTCTACATAAAAAGTGGAGACAAGTGACACATTACTCTTATAAAATTTTATCTAAGAATTCTTTGAAAAGAATGTAAAGTAGAATGTAAAGTATCTTTTAGCATAAATTCCTTTGAGCAGTATATAGTTTCTTTAACTTCCAATAGATTAAATAATTTTAATAACTAAACTTAAAATTAATTAGATATTTAATTAAAATTGATTGAAAAATAATGTACCATTTATATCTTTAAAGTTTCCTTCGCATAACAACAATTTCTTTTATAATTATTTTAATATGAAAATTGTATTTTATTTTTAAATTTTGTTTAAGAGAAAATTATCTCTAAATTGTACAAAAATAATAAGTTTGTTAAATATCACAGAGCAACGTACATATTATTATTTGAGCATCTCTTTGAATTAGAATTCATTTCTGCGAATAAGAGGCACAATTTCACGCATATATCAAAATATCCGAAAAATGAACGAAAATTTTAAATAGGCAGATTACATCGCGTAATTAATTATTTTGTCAGAAAATTCCCTAATTATCGCTAAAGAGGATTAAATTTCACCGAAGGGGATTAAATATCAAGCATAAGCTTGAATCAATTATTTAAATTTATCTGTTAGAGATAACTTTTGTTCTATACAAAAGAATGCATGTACTTTTAGAACGAAATTTTAGAACGAAATTAATTCACACTGAAAAGTTTATTTATGTTGGCAAACGCAGCATCGAGAGAGGATTTAGGTAAAATATTAATGTAGTTGATAACATCGCTCGATCGCTATAAATTTGTCCGAATATACAGGGTGTCTGATTCCTAATAGTATACCGTTTATATGCAGGTCATTGAGCGGAAAAGTCCTCTACCATTTTTTGTGATTTTCACAATTAGTAACACGTTATTAATTATTAAAGATCGTTGGAAGAGTGCATAGTCATCCGGCTCATCGGCCAACGCAAGCCCGCGGCGAAATATAATCATCCAACGCATTCGCGATTGGTAGGAGCGAAATATTTAAATGTAAGGTTTACGAATGACAAAACATTTATTTATAGTGTACACCTCCAAATACTTCTATTGCGAACGCATGTTGGACGATTGCACTTCGCCGCGCTTGCATTGGCCAATTAGCAGGGTGGATCGCTCATTTTATGATTTTTAATTAATTAATGATTCGTTACTAATTGCAAAATAGTAGAGAACTTTTTTGTTCAGTTTGACTCTATTTGCACACAAGTGGTGTACCATTAGAAATCAGACACCCTGTATATTTTACAAAAATTAGCAATTTCTTTAGCATTTAAAAGATCATATTTTTATATATCAATGCTTGTGGCTTGTCTTATTATGCCGTAGGATTCAATCAAAACTAAGAACATAATTAAATTTGTACAAGAAAATGAGATGGTAATGAGATGCAATATTAGTACTATTCATAATAAGCAGCTGTATTTTTTGAAAGTATTTAAAAATAAATGACAATTAGTAAACTTCATTTCTATTTTTATTTTGTCAAAGCGTGCTCGGCGTAATGTTTTTTTTATTCTCATATCAAGAGATAAAAAACAGAAGCTATATTAGATTTGCATGATTCGTTTGTGTATAAATTAGCTTAGCCAGCGTAGGAATCTTAGAGATTCTCGTAGTTAAGTAGAAAAATTTCGAATCGACGTAACGAAATTTCCGGTGGATATTCTTAGAAGTTCGAGCAGACCAAATGAGGCAAATAAGGAGGAAAAAAATATTTTAATTCGCATTGTTAAATACATTCGCGCACCACCTAAAATCACTACAATTAATTAATTCAGAAATAACATTTCCGAATCGTTAAAAACTGTCTGATAATATAAATGTGTTCGAACGAAAGTTAATTAATACTTTTTTATAATGCAACTTACGTCGCTGACATTCTCGCAGCTGGCGTTGATCGACCGGCACGTACTGTATCCTTGAGAAGTGATCGAGGATCCCGGGCTTTCCCGTCCCTGGAGCTGGACACTGTCGTCGAGGAACGTTCAGATCCCGAACAGAGCACCGCACTCGAATTAAGTAGTCCCGACTAGCATCCGGCTTTAGCATCGTCGAGGTAATAACGATGAAATATATCTACGACTACCCCTTTCGTTCGTTAATTCTTAACAATACATACAACAATATATATAATACATATGTATATATAATAGAGGTATATATACTACCGCTAATTACACAATACAAACATCTAATTTCAATATATCTTTTACAAAAATAGTTTCAAAATTAATAAGGATCTCATTTATAAATCATTGTATTGACAATAATAATATTAATTAAAATATTTCAACTGTGAAGTTTTTACTATTCAAATGTCGGATAGCTACCTTCTTCTTCTTATTCCTTATGTTTAGCCAAGGCTGCCATACGGCGTCAATACAGACGCCACGATTCAATTCGAAAAATATAATTGAGAGAACGACGACAAATGCATGAGCAAAAGTCGAAGAAAAAGCGTGATGACGCGATACAAAAATTTATGTGGCGACAAAGGATGTTCGAATCACTCAATGGCCCGAAAAGAACTTGGATAGCTACCGAAATGATAATATCGCTTTTGACTTGGAACTTTTCGGGACGAGACTCGGGCGAGACGTAGACGAAACGGAGGATCCGCGGGGCCCCGCTTCTTCCGGGCGGCGGGGCGGGGGGGGGAGGGGACGCGAAACGACACCCAATGAGACGCGATCATATGACCCCGGGTTGCCAATCATCGGTTTTTAGAAAAAGAGTGTTCCTCTTTGTTTTTCTAAACGGGACATGGGGTGCTTTCCATTTAGTGACACAAGTCAACACAAGTATTCATTCTATCTTTCTATCTTTCTCGGCTTTCAATGATTAACAAGGACAAAATGATACTTGTGTTGACTTGTGTCACTAAATGGAAAGCACCCAAGAATATTCAGGTTCATACCTGTCTGCTTACGAATTAAGCAGCTTGCCAACGGTACCAACAGAAGAATGCCTACACAACGTTGAAATATATTAACATATTGTTGGAATATTAATGTATATATAATATATATTAATAATCGTATACGAGAGCTTCATTCAATTTATACACTGAATAATATTTTATTAAACCACTGAAAATCGGAATGCTCGTTAATTAGCAGCATTTGATATTTTTCACAAAGAATGAAGTATGATCGAATGAAGGACTGCGCAAACGTACAGAGTGACTACTTGTTTCTCATCAATACTTTGCGTAGTAAAAATCTCTAACTTTGAATCGTTTGATATTTTTCTTTCAAAAAAATTTTTTTTACACATTATACTAAAGTTAATAAATGAAAATAATTATATAAAAACTATATAACTATATAAAACTATAAAAATAATTACATGAATTTTTGTATCATAAGCAATCAAATTAATCGAAAAATAATTAAAAAATCGCAAAAAATGTAAAACTCTTGCTTATTTCTCACTATATTCCATATAATAAAAACTTCTAATTAGCTTTAAATCGATATTTTTTTATAAAAGTATAAAATTCTAAAATTAATAAAAAGAAAAAATAAATAACAACGTAAATCTTTGTACTAGAAAAAACCGTGTTGATTAATGAATGATTCGAAAGGAAGAGTTATGTATTTAGTAATTGATGAATTTCACTCGATTCATGGCAATTAATATTTCTTTAATACTGACAAAAATGATACTGTTCACTAATTAATGATAAAATAACCCGACGCGGATGATTGAAAATGGTATCTTCTCTAATAATCGTTCATGAATACATGAAAGATTACGAAGAAAAACGCGAATTTTGCGCAAAATTATATTACTTTTTGTATTTAAACTGTATTACAGTCTATTTCCTTCTAATTCTTTTCTTCCTTTCATCCCTACAAATTGAGTTTATTTAAACTACATGAATCATATGCGCGTGAAAGACGGACATTTCCATTTATAATTAAAATATTCAAAAACTTTTAAAGAACAATTAAAATTTATTTATAAATAAGTCTAATAATAATTAGAATATACCGTTGTTAAATAATGACGCTAGATTAAGTCTTAGACTATTTGTCCTTATCCTTTTCAGGCATCAAAAACTTGTTATATTCCTTGTATTCTTCTGATCTTTCTTGTACTCAATGAGAATTAATTTCAAATTGATATATCTTTCACAAGAATTTTAAAATAAATAAAAAGAATATTCTAAAGAATATTTGTAATTTTTTATATGAAATTGAATTTACACCAGCAAACTAAATTTATACGAATAATATGATATACATATATAATATCGATATATAAAAAATATATAAAAAGCGAATTATGTATTTTAAATTACTAAAATCAAATTTAAATTGATATTTCTCTTTGGAGAAACTAGGTCTAAAATTATTAAAAAGGTACCTCACCCGTGAACTTCGCACGGAAAGCAATCGCATCGATCGAGAGGCGGCTCGAACGATGGCACTTTCGCTAACAATCGCGTACAAGCCGCGAAACTCACGGATTATTCGTTAGACCGACGAAACTCGAACTATCGTTAATTAGCGGCACCCACGACACAATTAAGCTCGATATTTCCTGTGAAGAATATGTGCGATAGAATAAAAATATCGCGAAAATTCGTAAGGATTATACGAAGTAACATTTCCCTATCTTTCTCTTTGTTCGCGCCAACGATCTAAATTTATGCGGAGTGTATACGCGATTGCGATTAAATTCATGCTTTAGAGATTAAGAACAATTTTCAATTTGCAACATTTTTCAATGTTGAATAGAGATTTATGTACAAGGCAAAGCTCTTCAGTACAGGATTTCTTTATTAAAGTAAAAATATCAATTCCTGTTATCCCAATAAATTCAGATTTACAGCCGATAAATGATACTTCCATCGTGTATTGTTAGCAAAACATTTTTGTCGATGGTGTATAAAAAGAACTGAGTAATGACAATAAAATATAAAATAAAACAAAAGACTAAAATACAGTATAAAATGAAAATAAAATGCAAAAAGATAAAAATAAACTATCCTAAATAGAATGATACATGTACATTCAGTTAGTATTTAGAATACTTTAAACAAATATTAAACAAATATATAATATTAAACAAATATTTATGAAATATACATAATATAATAAAGTGAAATAATCGAACCAATAAACTATATTCGAGATTTTTATTAGATTATTAACTAATTTAGTGTTATTGTACGTTAATGTATTATGTTAATGTGCATTATTCCATTTTTGCAGGTCTCCACGACCATCGAAATCCTTGGCGGTGCCTGTGGATCATAGTCCACTATGGACAGCTTTGACACACGCTAATGCAGTCTCCGCAGCGTTAAGAGATACCTAGCAGGAGGTGCAAGACGGCAGTTATATCGAAGCTCTCGTCCTAGATCTGCCAATCATTTACTGACCGGCCTCTCCGAAAATAGATACTATCTTAGTGGAGCATCGAAAGGAAGCTGGACATCCTTACTGAAACACTACCATATCGCCATAACAAAATAGCAAAAAAAATATAAAATACTTCTATATGTCAAGAGAAGTAAATAAAAGAAAATTTACAACAGAACGATGTTTGAAAAATAGAGTATCGTATGATCTTTTTCTGTGAATGTGTGTGCGTATGTCGCGACGTGAAATTTTATACTATTTATTTACTCGTGGCATTTACGAGTAGAGCTTTTTACACGATAGTTATAATTCAAAACGTATCCGGTCAACGTAGGAAGTAGCTGGTCTACAATATTATCCTATCAAATGTAAATACAAATTTTTAATTAATGTACAAATGAAATCACACATGAATAAAGTTATTATTCGTAACTGTATTATACAGATTGATATTGTACACAAATACATCGTTCAATGTACATTTTTACATAATACAAATTAGAATATTTAACTCCACCTTTTTATGTTAAGTCTGAAAATAATTTTCATAGTAAATATACATAATAAACTAAATTAGATTTAAAAAACAATCCTTAAACAAAAACATATGTTCCACGATAAAAATTTGAGGAAAAGTATAGTTGGAATGGAAATAATTGGCTTGATTAAAGTCCGGGTATTAAACGTCCTCTCTTTGCTGCTTTTTTCAACTTGTTCATTTTCTTTTCCTTTTTTTTCTTCATAATATTCTCTCGCCGTTTTTCTTGCCTTTCTTGCTTAGATTTCTCTTGTTTCTCTATCCTGGTATTCCATTTTTTTGCACTATGTTTCTTTCTCTGCTCATTCCGTTTTATAGTACGTTTCAATAACTCAGGATCATCTTTAATCTGTCAAAAAGACATAACATAAATATGCATAAAAAAAAATATGTAATCAACTAAAAACATTGGTTAATACAAAACACAATATAAAGAATTCATAATAAAAATATAAATAAAATTAATTTTTTATTTTGTTAAATATTTTAAAACTATGTTAAAAAACTAATTTTTTTATAAAACAAGCGTATTATGGTAAGTACATACTTTCTCGCCAGATGCTTTTGCTAAAGCAGATTTCCATGCATCTTTTTCTTTGATATCTTCAACTTTTTCTTTGTTACCTGAGTCTTCTAGTTGTTTCAATTTTTCCTTTTTCTGTTGCAATTGTTGTAAAACCTTTTTGGGATCGTTCCGATTTTTAGGTAATTTCTTTTTTACACCAATTTCAGAAAAGTCAAATTTACTAAACACCATTTTACCCTCTGAGTTAAAAATCGGTTTTGGTTTTGGAACTTTTGGTATCTCTTCATTTTCAATCTTTATTTTACTACTACCAACTGCATTCTGTTCTATTCTAGCCAGCTTTTTGTGTAGTAAACGTTCTTCCTTTTTTGTCTTCTTTTTAATTTTGTTTTTCAATGTTTTCTTAAGAAGTTTTTGCTTATAATCCAACTTTTTCATACTCTTTAATTCCTCCAATTTTGCATGCAACTCTTTGAAAGTATTTGCTCTTTTTATTTTTTTGCCTGTAGTAAAAGTCTTGACTACAATGTAATAAAGAAAATGCAATAAAAATTAACAAACAATTTATAGAAAAATAAAGATTTTTAATGGACAGAACACAGATATTCTTTAAACAAAAACTATCATCACTAAAGAGTAACAATTTTAATCATCATTTAATTTCTTATACCATGCATTAAAAAATAAACGTAGATAAAATTTCACAGTTAATAGCTAAATTCTGCACGATTATCTTCAAATATGTAAATAGTAACCTTTTTTCGTGGACTCTTCTTTCTTCATGGATAAATTTTTTTCAGCTGAAATAAAAATATAAAATATCGAGCTTATTATTATAAAATTATAATTCTGTGCACACATTTCTTTAGTAAAATATTTGAAAAATATATTTACCTAATTCACGCGACGACAGAGGTATAATAGATAATATATGCGAAATAAACGTTTCTTCTGCCAAAAGCATTTTGCGCACTTCATCTTTATTAAATTCTTTCGACATGTTTGTTAATTGCATTTTTCTTTTAACTCACGTGTACTTGACGAAAATATAAATAAGCTTGTATCTAATATAGGTTATGTCACTCAAACATTACAAATCTTGAATATAAAGATACTAGATGCGTCATATGCACATTTAAACATGAGTTCAGAAAGGGAAAGGCCAGAAACAAAAAATAAAATCTTTTGGTAAATATTTGCATATACGTCGTGATTTGAACCAGAGAGAAGCCTGGGGCTCTCCCACATTGAACGCGACGAGCGACGAAAAACGCGAGCATGTCCGCTCGGCTTCTCTCTGTTTAAATGTCGATCCACAATAGGTGATTTAAGCTTTAAGAAGTAAGAAATTGACCAATTATAATCGAATATGAAAAGAATACTCGACTATGATTAGTCAATTTCTTACGGCTTAAAGATTAAATATTTATTGTGGACCGACACTAAAGCGGTGTCTACAATGAGATTTTAAGCTTAAGAAATTGGCCAATCACACAATCGATTATTCTTCTATAAATCGATTATGATTGGCTAATTTCTTAAGACTTACGTCTTAAAGTCTCATTGTAGACGCCGCTTAAGTCCCAGTAAACCATTGGAGGGCGCATCGAATCAACGCTACATTTTCATCATTTCCTTATTTTAGCACCAATGCCGAAGTCAGCAGTGGTCAGCAGCGATGTGTTCTACGTACGAGTTTAATAGAACGAGATTCCACGTTCACTAAAGAACAGGAAGAGGTGAGAAAATTATAGAAAGTTTGACACATTTAATATGAAAGATTTTATAATAATCGATAATTTCCTAGCGTTCGTAGCGTAATATTTACTAAAATATAAATTGGTTATGACAAGTATTAATTTCTTAAACGATCCAATTGTAATTTATAATCCACGTGCATCGACCGAAATCCTTTGTCTTGTTTTAATATATCCTCGCGATAGAATCCCATTTGTATTATTAAATTAGAATTGTATTGTAATATAATTTCCATTAGTTTGGCAAATAAAAAGGAGTGATTATATTTGAGCTTTAGAGCATAATTCCTGTTGGAATCCGGGATAGGATACTATTTATAATTTTATGTGCCATATATCTTAACATATGAATATTTTTATATATATTTTGTATATTCAGTTGTTTGAATTCTTTTTAAATATTTCTTGTATTATAAGGAAAATAAAAACATTTTTTTATGTATAAATCTAAGTAACATGATGAATCTATCAAGTATGAATCCATGATTATATTTGTACATGCACTACCAACTGAGACATTTTATATTAATTTAAGCTTTATCAAAACAAGTTAACCATTTAAATTAATGTGTTAATATTTCTTTTTCAGAATTATGATGCTAAAATAAATTCTGTATTCTACTGAAGAAACTGGTAAGGATCATTATTTATATATTAAAAAAGGATAAAATGTTTTATCTATGAAATAGAATGAAATTTTTAGGAACATTAGTTCTAATCTTTTTCAAATGTTTTTGACATCAGGACAAACTAAAAATTTTTTATATGTAAACCTAAATAACGATGATGAATTTATCAAGTATGAAGCCATGATTATATTTATACATGCACTACCAACTGAGACATTTTATATTTATCTATGTTTATAAAGATAATTTGAACATATAAATTAATTTACAGTAATGTTTCTTTTTCAGAGTTATTATGCCAATATAAGTTATATAACACAAATTGGTAAGGATCTATTATTTGCATTATGTATATAAATCAAGATTTATTGATAAATATAAAAAAAAAACAGGATGAAATGTTATTTCTATGAAGTATCAGAATAAAATTTCCTTTTGATGATTATTTTTACATGCACTACCAACTGAAATAAATAAATTAATTTTTTTATCAAAAATATTGTTGAAAACTATATTAATTTATATTATATTCTTGCAGGATATAAGAGAATGTTATATGGAGATCTATAGATGAAGAAAAACAAAAATTTGGTATTATATAGATAAGTATAGAATAATATATTAAGGTTCGGCTCTTTTGTTGCAGCCATATTGAATTATGACATCAGAGGTGAGAAATGACATCATGTAAAAAGTTTCTTGCATTATATAGTTTTATTTTGTACTTTTCCCTTAAAGACATGATATTTTTGTATTCTTAAAACTTGTAGAAAATACCAGAAAGTAAGATATCTGTTTATGTGATAAATCACATAAAAATCACCAGATCATTAGATCTAGTTTCTGATAGTTGAGCGATGACCATTATTTCAAGAATTATTTTACACTTTTATGTGATTTATTGGACAGATATTTTCTGGTATTTTTTATAAGTTTTAAGAATACAAAAATATCATGTTTTTAAGGGAAAAGTACAAAATAAAGCTATACGACGCAAGAAACTTTACATGTCATTTCTCGCCTCTGATGTCACACAACCCATGTCGCACCGCCAGAGAACCAAATCTTAATTGCAAAAAAGTAAATGCACACTAAGTATAAACATCATTTTTTATAATTTATTTCTTGTGTAATCAATCAGAGTCTGAGATTTATAAATATGTGTCATAGATAAATGAAAATAATTGTTCAATTCTATTACAAATTAAAGTTTATAATTAAGATGCAATGAACATAAAATATAAAAAGAGAATATAAATCAAATGTGCTGAGTTGGAATTTTATTAATCTTTAGAGACCCACATTTTTTTAAATCACAAACTTTTAGAAAAAAATGCGTTTAATATATGATACTATATGCAAAATATAACTAACTTCGAAGTATTAAAACATTTTAATACTTCGGCCCCCTAAAAATGTAATTATTCAATTTGAAAATGAAGGCAATGTTGAGAAAAAATAAAAATTTAGATTTAGATTTTAGATCAGTTCGTACATATAACAGAAAACAAAAAAGAAGTACGAGTAGTGAAATTCAATAAAATCTATCGATTTTAATAAAAAAGTTTAACTTTTGTAGAAAACGCATACAATAATTTTAGGATAATTCGAATTTATATCGATATAAATTTAAATTATGAATAAAATATGGCTGACTACAATTTATTTATCTTAAACTTGATCCTTTCAATAAAATGGTATTACATGCCATTTAAGGTATTTTGAAGAATTTTTGAAACAAAACTCTCGAAATAGCGACTTTAAATGACCGCCCAGATTGCTAAATTTGAAACATTCAGATTTGATAATTTGTGAATCTCTTACAAAAGAATCCATTCCAGTGTTGCTATAATCCTCATATTCTTCTGATTTCTCGCGCTCCGACTTGTTCCCGAAGATGAAAATAAAAAATTTTTGAAATTGTACACTCAAAAAACTATATGCCAGTATTATAGAATCAGAAAATGATTTTCAATTTTGCTAGAAAGAGAGGAAAACTCAGTGAAGCAAGTATACTGTATCTAAGGGGACTTACTTTAAAAGGAATCATATTATTTGAATAACGTAATACTCTTTTAAAAAAATCAGTCTCATTATTTTCCTGAGAATAAATTTAATTTCTTCATATATGAGATGATATCAAAAAGTAGTGAGACTTATTTTAAAATTGTGAAAAAATGAATAATAAGAAAGTATAAAATCAGAAAAAATTATAATAATAATTTATATACACCTTGCAGTTAACATACTCGATTTATGCTAAAAGCAATGGAACAAATACGTTGTAATGCAGGAGAAATAGTTATTTAAAATATTGAAAGATTACATAAATATTTTATTAAAAATTAACTTTGTCTCATTATTTTTTGATACACTCTTATACATATATATTCAATAGACATAATGTTACTGTGTTACAATTTACAATCAATATATTATACATTGTATTTGTATAATAAATAAAGTTTATTTTTTTTCTAAATAAATCTTATAATCTGTATAAGAAGTAAAATAAAATATACATTTATTATACAAGAGAAAGAAAAGTGTTTATTAGGTCGATGGTAATAAAAATCAACGGAAATAAGTTGATTAAATTAAGTCAACTTTTAATTTAATCTAATTAATCTAATTGCGCTTGTTGATTTATAGAAGTAAAAACAAAGCATATAATTAGAAAATGCACTTAATATTGCACCAGATTTTTCTAATGGAATCAAGCTTACTACTTGTCTGAATAACATTAAATAGGTATATAAAATAAACCAAAAAACGCATGTACTGCCTTTGAGAAAAAGATGTCACTTTAGTAAGCAAATAAATATTTAAAAATATCTAAAATTAATAATGCATAGTGACAACAATGAAATGCACATGTAAAGGATACGGCACATTTATTATCTCTAATGATTTTTCATTCTGCTTTCTTTTTTTCTTTTTTTAAGCAATGACTCATAAAATTGACAATTATGCAGCGTTACAAAATTACGAATAATTAAAATGGACCAGTAAAATACGAAATTCTAAACAATGTATCCAGCATTGTTTAGAATTTCTGAGTATGTACTACTTTGTTATAATTTTAATTCATTGTATGTATTAAAAAACATTTTTTTTATACGATAGCGCCTAAGCCATATGATGAATTTCAAAATTACTCGCGTCAATAGAGTGACAAATAAAACTGACGATACGTCATCAACTGCAACATGTTAAAAAAATTATGTTCTTTATTTGGATTTTTAACGCTATCATTTCATGGTAAAACCACGCGCATTGTCACAATACATTGCGCAGTGTCAGTATGTGTCATTAATTGGTTTCGTTTGACGAAAATGAGATTACGCGGGAACACGAGTTCCCAAAAATAATACAATTCTCGTGATAGAGTTGCTGTGTCAAGTACATAAAACTATATTAATAATATACTTTAAAAATATCATATATATATATAATATATATATATCTACCCATATTTACCTACAACATAATTTCCTTCATACGTATATACATACATATGCATATGTTGCGCGTTTCTTCTATCCAACATATATATATGTATATCACAAGTATCATAAATCTTCAAGGCACTCCAGATGTATATTACATTCATATTTTACAAGTTGTGTTGTCCGGTGTTTAATAAACGGGGCATTTCGACGAGACAAAACAGGATTATTTTACTTGTTTTAAAAATGACGTAGTAACACTATCCTGTACACACGTTTATACAATAAACGAAAAAGGCGATGCAGACATAGAAACAAGAGATATCTTTTTTTTTATCAAGATACACGGTCCTGGACGCGCCTGGTCGCGCCAAGTGTGCGCGCTAGCGCAAAACGCGGACGAGAGGAAGGACCGTGTATCTTCACGCGAGCGCTTCAGTTGCGT